AAGACACTAAGAAGAGACTGTTGGGAATAGAGGAAGGGAGTTACCAGGTCACCTGTGGGATCTATTGCCCATTTTAACAAACATGTACCAAGCACAGACAAAAGACACCGGCCACTGTATAAAGAAGGCCAGATATTCCACTGGTGTCAGAGGACCAACATCTGGCTTCAGGAAGCTCCTAGTCAAGGACATTTCCTAAATACTCCATTGGGCAAAGAACCTCAGGGAATAGTCACCTGTTTACCAGGAAGATCCACACGGTATCTTGTTGGGACTGCACCTTCTTATTGGCTAGGTCTCCACAGGCGTCATAAATTATTCCCTCTGCCCTCCTCTCCACCATTCCCTGCCAACTCTTGGGTCCTGTAGCATGGTCCATGCAGAGATTCCCATGTGCTCAAGCCTCTGGCTCTCAGCAGTTCTAACCAGTCAGTAACCAATTTATTTTGAAACAGTTAATAAAAAACATGAAAATTCCACCATATCCTGACCATTTCCTCTAAGCACTTTCCATAAGAAAGGCCTGGGCAGACTACTCCATGTGTAGAGCTCTATTATTACTATGAACACTATGCTCACCTCTATTGATACCAGGGGAAACTGAGACTTAAGATCACTCGTGATCACCATGCTATCAAGTGTCAGAGCAAGGGTTTGAAGCCATGGAATCTGGCTCCAAAACTGGGCTTAGCACTTGCCAGTCTTCCTCTCAGAGATGGGGTCATAAACAAGGATAGCATGGGTGGGGCCGGGCAACTTCCCCCAGAGGAGCCAAGAGGAACTCAAATCAGGACAAATAAGGTCTTCATTGGACTGAGACAAGGCCCAGTTCCAGTGGCCACCACAGGAGAAAGGCTCTGGACCAAGCAGGCATGAGCCTCTGAGTACTGTGGGGAGCTTCTAGCAGGGCTGATAAACCTTGGGCAGAGAAAAGGAACCTCTCCCAGGAAAGGAAAGGAAAGGGCCTCTCAGATAGGCCCATATCATTCAGTCAATTGTTTGTCCGTTCATTTGTTTGGTGGTGTTAGGGAATGAACTCAGGGCCTTCCCACTCAACTCCACCCCCTGCTCCCCTTTAATTTTTTATTTTGAAACAGGGTCTCATCAAGTCACTACATTACCCAGGCCAGGCTTGAATTTGCAATCCTCTTGTGTCAGCATCCCAGATTGCTAGGATTCTAGGCATGTGCCACCATGCCAGGTCACACTGGGTCTCTTCTTAGTGAACCTTTCCTCTGCACCCGCCATACTGCATGCTGGGAGACAGTGAGACACAGTCCCTGCCCTCCAAATCACGGCCCAACCTGTGAAGGGCACACTCATACCAGGCTTTGAACTAAACAGTTGACCTAAGTAACCTCACTTAGTCCTTTGGGAGGCAGGGATTACCATTAGCTACAGGAGACGAAACTGAGACTTGGGAACGTAAGTAACTTGTCTGCAGTCCCATAGCCACTAAGTGGCGAAGCGGACATTTAAACCCAGGCAGTCCAACAGGATCTCCCAGATCAAGCTTTCAGCTATGAGCTAAACCAGCCATGCACTAGGCTGCACGCCACTGCTCAGTCAGCCAAGAGCGTGGGGATAAGGTCTTGTACTCTGGAGCCCAGACTCATATCCAGCCTCTGCTGCTGCATGGCTTGGACAAATAGCCAGCCTCACAGCAAATGGGGAGAAAGCCAACCTGGCAATAGTGTCATGGTAGGATTAAAAATTTATATGGTGTTTAGAATAGCACCAGACACACTGTAAGAGCTGTAGAGTGTTAGTGTCACTATCCTCAAAGATAACTCTATATGGAGTGTCATTTTTGACCGAAGCTCTATGGCTAAAAGAGAGCCAGTCACTTGCCCAAGGACAGGAGACTGGGATTCAAATACACATCTCTCCGGATCTGGCGCCAGAATCCAAAGTACGGGCTCTTTCTTAACTTGAGCCTAGCTGCTTGGGTGGGGAATTGGAGACAGGCCCCCTTGACAGCTGCAGAGACCCTATTGCGCATCCCCTCCAGAGCACCCCATCCCCATGCATTCAGGGTGAGATACAATGAGAAGGATGGGGAATCATCACATCCCCTTCCCCAGTTGGTGTGGAGACAGGGGTGAGCCAGTCTGGGAAGATTGGATAGTCTTCTAAAAGCAGCAGCTATAAACAGGACATTGTCACCCCACACCCTTCAGTTCTTCTCCCTCGGCTCAGTGGGCAGGGCAGGCCCCAGCCAGCTGCTTCAACAAATACATAAACACATAAATCATGAGGGAGAGCTGGCAATGCCACAGAAAGAAAGGCAGATACCAAGACCAGCGGAGGAGACAATGGCCCAGCTCTAGATCCTGCCAAAGTGGAGAGGAGCTGAGGAACCTGCAAGGGACACCTGCAGATGCAGCAGTTCCCCGAGGGAGGGCCAGTGTTGGGGGAGGGAGGAGCAAGGAGGGCAGCCAGGGAGATAGATGAGTTCTGGGAGAGGAAAAGAGAGGACTGGGCTAGGGGACAACCCAACCAGGGCAAGCACTCTTGCACTTGGGCAGTGGATTGGGCCCACCAGCATCTGGAAGGCCAGGGGAGAGTCTTCCAGCTAGGAAGGCACCCCACATGTGTGTCCCCACTAGGACAGAATGAGGAACATTCCCAACCAGAAGGGCAGCTGTGGAGAGGGAAAAGGGAAGATATGAAGTCCCTGGGGAAAGCACAAGAGCCAGCTGTCAGGGTAAGGAGCCAAGAACCCCACATTCTACAAAGCCCTGGACCCGGCCATCCAGGGCCAACACCCCACCACCCACGTGGTTCTCATTAGGCTCATTAGCAGCAAAATAGCAATGAGCAAACAGCATAGGGATCAGCTAATTAGCACACAGCCCTTCAGTGGGCAAGCTGGCTTCAAGTAGAAAAGGCTGGTGCCCTGGCAGTGCCCTCCAGAACTGCCAGTCTGGATGTCCCAGTTGGAATGGCGCCGGGGGCAGCAGCACGAGAGGGATGGGGAGGGAAGTCATGAGGAAGTGAGTGCGTGCTGGAAACATCCTGGAATAGCACCCACCAGGGCAGGAAAGTGCACACACACTGGTAATATGACAGTCTCCAGACTCACCCAACCCAGGGTTGAAACTCCAGTTTGGCAGAGAGGAATGTAAGCCTGGGGGGCAGCTGTGGCCATTCCTAGACCCCTCGGGCAGCTGGGAAGAAGCCCACCCCTACGAAGCCTCGTGCTCCAGATTCAGCTCAAACCTCAGCCACACTCTGCATCAGCCAACACATTCCTACAAAGGCTGAGACCTCTAGACCACATCAACCTTCTCACTGCCTTCAACTCCAAATTCCCTTCAAAGGCCTCTGCAGTCCCCCAAGGCCTTGCTCCTCAAAGTGTGTCCCTACTCCAGCAGCAAGAGCTCATTCAAAATACAGAACCTCCAGCCCCACTCCAGACCTGCTGTAGCAGAATCTGCTCTTTAATAGGATCCCTGAGGTTTTCTGGAAACATTCAAATATGAGTAGTGACCTCAAAGCAGATCTTCCAACCATGGGCCTCAAACTCTTCTCAGTGGTCTTCAGTCACAGCTAAAGAGTCAACTAGAGCACTTTCAAAAAGCACCAGCGGCAGGCCCCAGCCCCAGGGCTACTGGTTAGCATAAAGCCACCTGGCCAGCCTCTTCCCTGGCTTCTCTGCCTAGCACAGTGGCTCAGACCTGACTTTGTCTCAGACCTCTCTGTGGGTCACTTTCTTCACCTTTAAAAGTGGTGAAGCTACCACTCTGCAGGCAGGCTTGGACCTTCAAGAAGCAGTGGTGACTACAGGAGGACAATCAGGCAGAGCTCCTGGGGTGCTGACGTGGACCCAAGAGGGCCCCTGAGGTGTAAAGAAGAAAGATCCTAGAGGCTCTCTCCAGCCCTCATTGCTAAAGTCACCTGAGGGAACATCCAGCTTCAGCGAGTGCTGGGAGGGATTAAAGACCTGCTTGTAACAGTATGAGGTCTGGGTCCAGCCCAGACCCAGCATTGCAGCGGCGTGTCCTTGGCCTCATGTCCTAAGCAACCCAGGTCTCTCAGCAGTAAGTAAGGCTGATGGGTGAAAACATCAGAGGATTACTGAAAGGTTTAACTAAGGCAGTGCATGTGGAGAGCAGCAGTCCACTGCCATCCCAGTTCACAGATGAAGAAAGTGGAGTCCAGAAAGAAAACATGCACTATCTGGCAGCTGGGCATAAACATCAGGAGGAGCACCCTGGAGCTCAAATTCTAGTTGTTATCTTACTTGGCCACAGACGTTAAGTAAGTTACCTCTCTGGGCCTCACTACCTGCCCTAGAGGATACGTAAAGTGCACACTGCACAAAGACAGTGCTACATAGGCACTGGCTCCTGTCACCGCCTTTCCTGACTGCGACACCGTTCATGGGATGTTTGAACTCTGTCTACTATCAGAGAAGGCTCAGGCATGGAGGTCATAGATTTTTCTACCTCCCTACCTAGTCTCCACCTAACAGGACTACTCTCTTTATTCTCATTTGAGCCAGCCTTTCAGGCTTCAGGATAGTCCAAGGGAAGCCTATTCCAGACACTGTATCAGAGCCTCATCAGCTTATCTCAGGGGAGTGTGTGATGAAGATCAAACCTCCATGCCAGGAATCAGGACAGAGGTGGAATCCTACAGCACGCAACATGAATGCTGGCCTTGGAGATGTGGAACAGCCAGGTTCTGAGACCAGTGCTGACCACAAACATATGTGGGCCTCCACAGGACCCTGCAAGCAGGGCAAGTGGGACTAACACAGTGTGAGAGCAGAGGGAATACAGGAAACTTTAAAAACATAGGCAGGGGTTTGCTTAGAGATGCTGAGTCCAGGTGGAGGCATTTTTAAATTTCCTCTCTTCGTTGCCAATTGCCTCCACTAGGAGACAGGCTGTATCTCAGGAGGCAGGCCGGGAAGACCTCTCTGTTCTAGATCCTGCAGTCCTCAGCTGGTACCCTTGAGGGAGAGAGGGGTGAACGGGGCAGGAGACACTCACGTTTGATGCAATGGTTGGTGCTGTTTGCGGTCGTCCATCCCGGGCAGCACTGTCCCCCGCAGACGTTTCTCCTGTGGGGTCACCAAGGTCAGGTCAACACAAGGATGCTCAGAGCCAAGCTATTCCTAGAGGCCTCTGATAATTCTGCCCCCTACAGGTGGAGCCTGAGAGAACACTGCCAGCTGCAAAAGTGGTCCCAGTTCCACAGGGAGGCTGCCAGGCACTAGGCTGGGGATCATGCAGATCTAAGCTCGATTTCACTGTGCCACACTCAGTGTGCCCCTGGAAACCTCACCTTCTCATCTCTGCAGTAGAAATGACAGTGCCTGCCTAAATGGCTGGTTCTGATGATTACACAGGATAGAAATGTTTGGCACCTAAAGAAGGCGACAAGGACCATAGAGATGATAAGCAAGTTCAAGATACAGTCACTTGGCAAAGCTACACGACCATTAAGCACCAGAACCTGATTCCAACCTGAGTTAGCCCAACTCTAAGCCAAGTTCCAGCTCTGCACTGCCCCTCGTGGAAAAATAAAACAAAAATGCCAGCTTCTTGCCCTCGCAGTGAAGCTGTACACATGTGCAGTCTTAAAGACACACAATCATGTTGCCTGCCAACAAATATGCAGAGGAGGAGCGGCAGTCTTCATCATGCTGCTGTGTGATCAGACTGAGGCCTGAGGGGGAGACGAAAGGAACAGCCCTCAAGGCTCTGTTTAACGGGGGCACCCGTGGTGACGTTCTCAGTGCAACACACTCTCCAGTAGGGAAGGCTAGTGGAGACCTTCCCTCAGAGACTCCTGGTGCTGGCTCCTCCACATGAGACAGTTGGTCTTATGTAGGACACTCAGCCCACTTGCCAGAATCTTGTCCTTTGGTGTCTAGGGGACACCAGCAGCAATAGCATTTTCCCCCAGCTCTGGCTCTCCACCTAAACTCAAACATCCAAGCTAGGGTGGCTCCCTAAAAGCACCCTTCCTGAGATGAGCCCTGGTCCTGACTCCTCGGCCAAAGCCAGACTGGCTCTGGCTTCCCAGGCCATGACAGTGTGCAGAATGTGTCCACTGAGCGCTCACTGAACCCAGAGGTGAGTGGGAGGGAGCTATACAGAGGCCAGAGGACAGAGCGGGTGGCCATTCCTGAGATCTCTGTGGCCAGTATGGCAAGCATCTGGTCCCACTTAGATTGTTTGACATTTGAGTGGACCCCAAAGCTTGTGTGGTTTTGAGAGACTTACAAAGAATTCAAAATAAATTCCTGCAGTCTGAAAAAGCTGAGGCCCATTCCTGGCCCTTTGGCCCAAAGTTGTGGGGAGCTGCTTCCCAGGGAGCTCCCATGATGTATCACTAGCTAAGGGCCCTGCCTCTCCAGCCACCACTTCAGCAGCTTCCTGGATCCATAAAGTCCCTCTCATAGGGGTGGCTCAAGTCACCAGGTCTCAGGGAGGGGCTGATCTCAATCTCAGACTCAGGGTTTCTGAAAGTGTGCAGTGGTGGAAGGGAAAAGCAGCCCACCTCTTTGGAAAGTCAATACCCCTTGTGATAACAATGCCTCTCAGGGGGGCTGGGAAGTCTTTTCGAGGAAGCAGTCTGCATGCTCTGAGAAGTTTCTAAACTAGGGCCTGTGGTAACCCAAACACCATGGCCCGTGGACCGAGAAGCCTGCTTAGCTTAAGAGGTCATCATGGCACAGATCCCAGCTCAAGGAGACCCCAGATACCCTTGGGATAGTTTCATGTAGGAGGCCAGCAGCCAGGCTGGCCTTCCCTGCCCATAGTGGCGCCCTGAGAAATGTCAGGGATATGGTAAAGACTGGCCAGAATCAAAGGCCGCCAGGCAGAGGGGCCAGGATGGGGTTAGGAGGGCACTCAAGAGAGATCCAGGTACCCAGTGAGAGCCAGAGGGTCCCTGCCAGGCCAATATGAACATCTCGGGTACAGGCCCAGTAAGGAGAGCAGCTGGGAGACAGCCATTCTGCATGTTCCAGCCAGCACAGAGAACAGATGAGCCTGACTAGCTGGGCCATAGGACCCATCGGTTCTGGCTTTCTGGAAGCCAGCTTTCACACGACTCAGACATGGTATGGGTACCATCTTTCAGGTGACACTAGTCAGCAAACATTAGCTCCATGTCTGGCAACACAGCTGGATACACATCAGGCTAACAGCCTGGCACAGCTGCATTCCACCTGGGACAAATCTGATTCTACTGGCCCCTTGGAACAAACTTCCCATAGCTCTCCATGGCCTCCACAAAGCCAACCCGGCTGCCACCTGCCCGTAAAATCAAGTCGCCTCCATCACCCTTCCCCTCAGCTCCATGGCCATCCATAAACACAGCTGTGCTCCTCCGTGCTTGTCTCCACAGAAGCTACACGTGGATGCCTTTGCCCAAGCTAGTCCCTCTGCCTGGGAAGCCTCCCCTCACTCGCCAGATGAAACCCCTGACACACTCCTAGACTTCCGGGTCAGGTACCACCTGCTTTGTGTAAATGTACACTGACATCTTTCCAGGTTTCCTCTTCCACCCAGAGCTACCAGTTAGCACCAACTGCCTGACTTTGGGGCTCCATGTCTCTGTCTTCGGTATCCTGATGTCGCTTCCCTTTTTCCTTCTAGTGCCTAATTTGGTCCCCTAATGTTGTGCCTTTCTGTGCCTCCCCAAAGCAGCAGGAATAACACTGAGGTTGGGAAGGGGATTTTCGGGTCACATGAGCACAATACTCAGAGGTGCTGAGTCACACGGTGAGGAAGTGATGGCCTGCTCTGTGGTGGTTCTAACCTGATTAGGTCAGTGAGCAAGTCTCCATCTGCGGCTGGGTCCCCAAGCCAGATCCTCCCCTGAACACAGGCCAGTCCCTCTCTTCCAGAGGGAGCGCTTCTAAGATAATGAATGGTGTCTGACTAGAACTGAAGAACATTTTGTTTTCATTTCAATTTCCCTACAGTTACCTTCTCTTCTCGGCAAATGGTGCTGCTTTCAACTTAGGATAATGATACAAAGTTTCCCTTTAATTATGAATTTATTTATGTAGAAAAGTGAGTCAAGCACTGTTTGTAATGGCAAAAAAATGTAGTTCGTTTAATGTTCAAAAGCAGGAAAAAGAAGCAATATACACCAGTTAAAATGAATAAATTTGGGCTAATTACATAAATGTGGTTAAATCTCAAAAATCTAATGAGACGTGGGAAAACAAACTGTTGGTAGAAGGATTCTCCAATTCCCCCATATTCTCTATGACATGATATCACTTTCTGAGCTCAAAATATGCCAACACAATATTATTTTACAGACACATGCATCTGTAGTCATTGTGTAGAATATACGTAGGAGTTACTTAAATTCAGAGTAGTGATTAACTCTAGGGAGACAGGCAAATTTATAGACATTTCAGCTAAAACAATTAGAATCAAACTATGCCAAAATTTTCAGATCTGTGGGTGTGTGAGTTCTGTTATTTCCAATACCTTTTTGTATGTAAAGCTTTGCAATGCACTTTAAAATGATAGAAAACAAAATCCTATTATTTTAACAATATATTAATTTCAAGAAAGGAAATGGTAGAGGAAAATATTCTCAAAGTAGTATGAGGTTAGACTGGTTCAAAAAACACTTTAGACTGCAAAACAGTGAATACACAAGTCCTCCGGAGACCGAATTAGTGCAGGAATGGTGTCTACTTTGGTCACTGTTCCACCTCAAGACACCTAGCACCATCCTGGAGCATACTTTTAAAGAAACTTCACTGTCTGCAAAAAGTCCCCACAACGTTGGAAATCCTTAAAGGACAGAGGCTTTCTGACTGTCTGTCTTGACCACTGCCACATCCCCAGGATCCAGTATAGTGCTCAGCACATAGGAAACCTCCCACCAGATGTAACTATATACATTTGAAGAACTCCTGTAGCAGAGATGTAGTTCCAAGTGCCACCAGCAGGTGGCACTTGGTCCTTGGCTCTAAGCAGACCACAAAGCAATGGCCAATCAGTCATTAGGTAGATAGACCTGGGCTAAGGAAGTCAATAGACAACACTGGCACGCCTCTCTTCAGGCTCCCATGGGAGGGCTGCCTAGGGTGACAGGGGAACCCACTACCTATCAAAGCCTGGGCCAGTACCAAGAGTAAAGGCCCTTGTGCTTGGTTAGTGCCATGCCTGCCTGCCACCCTCACTTCCAGCCCCTGCTCTGGCCATCTGCCCTATTTCCCCACCCACTGCCCACCAAAGCCAAGTCACAGAGCCTCTCTCTCTCCTCTGAAGTCTTCAGCCACCCTGTCCCATTCTCTTGCACTTCCAGTGCTAGAAAGTTCATTCACATTTCTGCTCATTTCTCCAACTTGATTTTAAGTAATTGAGTTGCTGTCCCAGCGGGGATAATGCCTAGGTCCCGGGGCCCCATCTCCTTTCCTGTGCTCAGCACACATGCTTTTAGGAAGCAAGTATTCACTTGCTCAGGTCAGGGGGGAAAAATCCTGAAACCCAGCAGGTGCTCCATTAATACTTGTTGAGTGATCCCAGGTGGGAGTGATTTGGCAGCCACGTCCAAGGGCAGCACAGAATTCATTCACTCTTTCAACAGATATACTTAGGGCACAGCAGCTATGTTCCAACACCATTCCAGGCACTGGGGACACGGACATGAGCAAAAACTGCCCTGGCTTTCACAGAACTACATTAGTGGGTGCTGGAAGGCGAGACACTAAACATAAACAGAACTACAAATACAGTATGCTGGATGGAATGAACGCTCACTCGTAAGAATGGAAGGCAGGGTGAAGGAGGGAGAGGATAGGACAGGGGTGGCCAGAGAAGACTTCTCTGACGAACAGAGTTCTGAATGAAGCTTGCTGAACACAAGACGAGTGACCAGCCGTGGAAAACACTGACTGCACAGGGCAGGAGGCAGAAGATTCTCTGGGGGTACAGGGGCCCATGCCATTGCCAAAGATTGAACCCAACTGTTAAATGGAGCCCAGGCCAAGCAGGGCTACCAGAACCCTTCCCAGATTTCTCTATGGTCTCAGCTCAGTCTCTCACTGCTGGTGGCTCCAGCGCCCTCATTTCAAAAGTATCTGTCATAGCCAGGGAAGGAGTTTCCCCTAGCTCTCTCAATCGGTGATAATGTGGATTGGGAGTGGGAGTTGCTGAGGGGCACCTCACATTGTGACAGCCTCCTAGGCAGCAGAGAGCAGTTCTCAGGGCGTGGGGAGTGGGGATGGTGAAGAGGGGGTTTACCCCCCAAAATTGAAGAGGAGCTGATCATAGTAGTGCAGGCATGTAATCCCAGGACTCTGAGAGGCTCAAGCAGAAGAATCACAAAGTAATGCCACCGTGAGCAACTTAATGAGTTAGAAAAAAAAACCTGTCTCAAAATAATAATAATAAAGCATTAGGGATGTAGCTCAGTGCAAAGGCCTGTGTTCCATCCCTGTATTCAACTTCAAAAGGAATGAGAGAGAGAAAGGAGGGAGGGAAAGACAGAAGCAAGAAGGGAGGGGGGGGGGAGAAAAAAAAAAGCAAGACGCAGAGTTGAAGGAAAGCTTAGCCTGCAAAGCGGGCAAATGACACCTAGATGCGCCGGCACACACAAACCCAGTTTCCCACAGCCACGCTGGGGCAGATTTCCTGCCCCAAGGGCCCCAAGCCTATGCCTACGCCTACACACAGGCGTCTGCGAGCCCAGGCCGACCTGAGCCCCTGCCCATACACTTGTCTCTGCGCGCTGGCTCCGCGGCCGCCCCTACGTGGAGAAGCATCTATCCTCGAGTGCCGGAGCCCCACGCCTCATCCTGCACCTACCTTCCGCTGAATCAACCTTCCCAGAGCCTCAGGCGCCCCATCACCCACCCAGCTGTCCCCTCCCCGCTGCCTCGGGTTCCCGCAGCGCAGTAAGCGCTTGCGAAAGCTGGTTCTCGGCAGGGCGCGGGGGACCTCGGGGACAGATTCTGTGTTGGGTTTTGGGTAATCTGGTATGGAAAGGATGAAGATCCTCGATCTTCGCCTAAACTCCTTGGAGCTCTTTCTCCACGCTACTGAGGACAGAGCAAAAAGGGCAAGAGCGGGCGCCCTCTCCCCTCTCCAAGCAGGAGCGCACAGGCGCTTCGTCCCCGCTCCCTCTCGTACCCCCCACGCTTCCCTCTCCCGTGCTCACCCCGTGAGCCGCCCTCGCGGTGGAACCCCCGGCCGCTGCGAGGTCCCGAGGCTCGGGAGCGCCGGTGCGACCCGGGCCCGGGGTGCGGGCTGCTGCGGGCCTGCAGGGCTGCTCCTCCGGGTCTGCACAGGTGGCAGGGCTCGACGCAGCTGCTGCGCGCGGGACGACCTCCTAGCCTCCGCCTCGGCGGGCCTCCTGGGGCTCCCCCAGGCCGGCCGGGTCTGCTCCGCGGGCAGCGAGCCCGAGACGGGCGGGTCCTGCTCCCGGAACAGACTGTACACCTTGGCTGCGACCGCTGCGGGGTGGTTGCCCGCGGGGCGCCACAGTGGACTGGCGTCCCTAACTGGCTCGTATCTCCCCGCCGAGTTCCTCTGGGCATGACCTATGTCCGCCAGGAGAGCCAGAACGACCGGCAGGAAGGCCCTCCAGGGGGCCCACGGGGCGCGCCCCGGGCAGCGGGCGGCGGGCGGCGGCCTCATGGCTCCGCGGCAGCTGGAGAGCGGTGGCCGCTGGGACCGCGTGGGGGTTTGTCGCGGGTGCGCCTGGCCGTTTGCTCCGGGACCGGCGGCGGCCGGCTTCCTCTGGTCTAGGGGGCCCTGGAGCGGCCGGCCGGGGCCCAGGCGCCCGGGTCTCCCGGAGCGGGGTCTGCGCGCCCTGAGCCTCGAGTCCGCGCTGGGCTCCACCCGGGCGCACGGCCGCCGCACCTTGGCGCCCAGTCCACCGCACCAGCCGTCCGCGGGGGGAACGGAACGTTTTATTTTTGGAAACCTCCCCGTTTTTTCGTCTCTTTTATCCACACCATGCCCCCTCCTCGGAGGGACAGCTCGGCCCCCTCATTACGGGAGAGGGAGAGAGAAATTCCAGCAACACCCACTTTGGCACGGGAAAGCGAGCGGGCGGCGAGGGGGATTAACCCGTGAGGAGCTGGGGGCTGCGCGGCGCTGACCGGGGCGGGCAGGGCGGATGGCGTTCGCGGAGATGGGGCACCCGAGCCGCCACCTCCTGCCCTGGCGAACTCGAACTGCCCACCTGTCGCCCCGACCTCACCGACCAAGTGGGTCTGGTGAGCAAGGCTGCAGCCTCGCAGGTCTGAAGGAGGCCGGGAGAGGTACCGAGTTCCGAGTGACCGGGACAGGTCTTGAGGTGCGGGAACGTGGCCCCTTCGCCTCCCATCCTGGCGGCTGGGAGCGCCCGCCGTGGCTGCCAGAGGCTCCGGGCAGCGCGTGAGAGCTGGCAGCCTCCAGCGCAGCAGGACGCGGGACGCAAGAAGGTCGCTGGGGTGCGTGAAGGCGCGCCCCCTAGTGGAGCCGACTGCGTCCTTGGCAACTTGCGTCCTGCAGACCTGAGGCTGCCAGCCGCCTTGGCTCCGCGCGCTAGCTCTCCATCCGGTGGCGTCCAGATCCCGACTCGGCCTGGGGCGGTGGTGGTGGCTGCTAGAAAAAGTGTCTTCTATTCCACGGAAACATAAATACAGAAGGAAATGAAGGCAGAAGGAAGGTCTCCTGCCTCTCACTCCTAGTCCACTCCTTGGACTCTCACCTGGGCCCTTCATTCCCTCGGGAAATTCCCCAGTGGACTCGATGAGCTGATTAATGTGTGTACACCTCACATGGTGCATTGGCCATGGCGGGACCACTCATCTGAACACTCCTGATAATCAGCTCATCATGTTCATCTATGCCCTTGCCCAATATCTAAAGGCCTGGGGAAATAAGGCAGGGCCTGAAGACATTTTCACAGCCTGTTTCCTAAGGAAGTAGGCTGAATGAGCAGGTAGGAGGCGCTGCTTACCACTTCCCATAGCACACGAAGAACAGCCACAGACCACACCTAATGTCAGAGGAAATCCTCAACCCTCTACTTTGGCCTACGGAGGCTTGCAGCACTGGCTCCCTCTCTCCTGTCTCACAGGTACTGTGGCATAGTAGCAGCGTAGGTCCTCTGCTGCTGCGGTCACATCAGTGCCACTTTTCTCTATGTGGAACTTTCATCTCAAGAGGTCAACGGGACTGTCACATCTGTGCCACTTCTCTCTATGTGGAACTTTCATTTCAAGAGGTCAACGGGACTGGGCCTCTCAGATCAAACATCATCTCCTGGAGTGGTTGTCTGTGCCCACGCCCAGTCTAGACCTCCCCACTCCCAAGCTACCACATCACCCTCCCTTATCTTCATTGCTCCAAGGATCAGTTTAACCAATCGTTATTTCCTTGTGAAACTGGTCCTTTGAATGGATGATCCTGAATCAAGAAGCAGCATATTTTTTCCACTTAAACCTTCAACCATGTTATATTAAATTTCCCTTCCCATTCCACAACGACATCTCAGGAAGAGTCCTTGGCTTGCCCACCTCTACTAAACACAAGAACACTTTCTTTTCTGTAATTAATACCAACTTTCAGGGTCTACACAGGCTGCTACTTAAATCAGAATCTCGTCCAATTTAATCACTATCACATTCAAATTAATTCTCCTCTCCCTGCCCAAACTGTCTTCTGGCTGGAGTCTGTATAAGGGAGAGTGAGGTAAGGTCTGCTTTTTTGGTTTTCCTGTAATGTCTCCTCTGTGTCAAGGTCAGGCAAGAAGTATTGGAGGAAAAGCAGCAAAGTCTTATGTCGCAGGTGTCCTTGGCCAGCAAGTGCCAAGCACGGCCTCTGTCACGGGCACATTTGTGGGGTTTCGTAGGGCTCCTCTCTGAATTGCCACACCAAAGCACTCTCTGGCCTACCTCTCGAAGATCTTAGCATACCTTCCCACAGGAGACATTCCAGTCCGTGCCAGGCAAAGCAATGAATAGTTGGCTGCACCTCAGCTGGCCATGAGGCCACTTCAGCCAGGTTCCACAGTCACAGCTCTCCAGACAGGAAGTGCATGTCAGTCTCTTTATTCCTATACAGCCTCAGTTCCTAAAGATTTTGGGTCATCCAAGAACTTTCTTGCTATACTTTTTACATTGAGATCCTGCAATTCACATGATGTTAGTCAACTCACATTGTTAGTCATATTATGTTAGTCAACTTTCCATCACAGTGACAAAATCAATTGAAAAGATTTGCTTGGGCTCGTGGCTTCAGAAGTTTCCTGGTTTCTCAGTCCCACTGTTTTGCACCTGTGATAAGGTTCATGATAAGGAGTGTATGATGGAGAAAAAGCTTTTGCTTCATTACATGGAGAAAACAAAAAAGAAAAGAGAGGCTGGCATCCCATCATCCACTTCAAAGGTATGTCGTTCCAATGACCTACCTTCTTCCCACGAGGCCCCAACCATTAAGTTTCACCTACCACCTCTAACAGCACCATCAGCTGAGGACCAGACTTTCCACACATGAAACCCAGGGAGACATTAAAGATCCAATCATAACAAACATCACACCAATCTTCTCTTCTTGGCGGTGATTAATCCCCTTGGGGTTGTCTTCCCTTGGTTTGTGTTGAAGATTACCCTCAAGGGAAAGCTCAGCCTTGTCTACTAATGCAACCTTTCTCTACCTCAGCCACCTTCCTCCTTTTCATCTGTAATCTGGAACTGAGGGATGTCATTTGGTAGTGTTGAAGCTCTTCTGCCTTCAGTAAGGTGTCCTGTACATCTCTTTTAGAATGGGAGAATATTTAGCTCTCATTGTTCTAGTCTTTGCTGTGTCTGCAGAGATGCCAAGACTACATTGACCTCATGCTATCATTCATAAAATTTACTCTCTGACTTTCCAAGCCACAATGTTATCTTTTTTGGGGGCGTGGTATTAGGGCTTAAACTCAGGGCCTTGTGCATGCTAGGCAAACACTCTACCACCGAGCTACATCCCCAGCCCCCACAATGATATTAAATGAATTGATACCTTGTTCTCACTGCTACTCTAGAACCTAGAACTGTACCTGATCCTAAGAGATAGCCGAGAAATACACATTCAATAGGTAACTAACTGAGCGAATGACAGAATAATCTCAAGTAGGGGGCATCATGAGACCCATTGTAAGAGAGAAAAACAGTTCTGCATGGTAGCTACTGCTCCATGTTCCTGTCCTGCTGTCTTTAGGGCTGAGCCTAAAGATCCCCTTGAGTCCCACTCCTTGCATTTTGGAATGAATGCCACTTCCATTCCCAGAATGCTCAGTTGCCTCTTCTCCGCGATGCGAGCCTCAGATCAACACTGACGCCTTTTTCTGGTATCTGTGCAGCTCAGCAGTTTCAGGCACCCTTCTGCCCTCCATTACCTGCCCTGTTCCTTTAGAAATCTTCTCTTTATCCCTGAATGCTCACCTCAGATCCCCAAGAGCCTCTCAAGGCAGAAACCTTGGCATTCTCTTCGTCCCTGAGCTATTTTTTCCTCCTCTGAGTCCAAGTCATTATTACCGCTCCATCTCCCCCGTCTGCATTTCTGGACGTCTGCCGCCCATTCAGTCTCTTGCCATTCGCCTGGCCAAAACCTTCACACAGACACATTTCCCTCACCAGCCAACGCCCCTCCTGCGCCTCCCTGAGCACGAGTGGTCCTGGGGAATTCCCGCACCTTCTCCTGGGGCCCCTGCCCTGATAACCTCCTCCAAAGCTCGGCGTCTGCTGTGCCCACCCCAGTGCCCTCTCCTGTCCCGCCTCCCACCTACTGCCATGCACTGTTTCTTTGTAACTTGGAACCTCATGGTGCAGCTTTGCAGAATCTCCTTTCCCATAAACACTTGGGTTTGAGTTTTTGTTTTCTTTTGAAACTGCCAAAATTTATGGAGCTTAAACAGTTGGTCCAAGCACTGTATGCTACAAAAATTGGCCTATTTAACCAACCCAAGGTGGGATTATGATTTCCATGTATATGAAAAACTGAGGCTTGTGATAAGTACTGGTTGCCCAAGATCACACAGCTAGCTAAATGGAGCAGATGCAGGCTCCAAATCTGAGTCATTTCCTACCTGAGCCCAGGATTTTAAGCCCACACCATCCTGCCTCAATCCTGGACCTTTCTCATAACTGAAGTGGGACTTCTCACCTACTCCACTGCTGTCCCTGCCACAGGCACTCCGGTGCAGATTCCCAAATGACTTCTTCCCTGCCAGTAGCTCACAGTTTAATTCCCTGAAGATGTAGGGTTATCAGAACTTTCTGCCCGCCTCAGTCTTCTCTGTCCAGTAAGAGAAGGGGAGCCATTTCCAGTATGGCCCTGACACACCATGTGTCACTTCCCCACCCCTAATGAGGCAGGAGAATTCTGCTAAGCCTACTCACCCATCTCTTGGGACTAAGGAGGGTAATCATCTCTGGAAAGCCCCAAAGAGAATCCCAAAGGGTCAATAAAGGGGGTCTAGCAGGGCAAGATTTGCCCAGACTCTGCACCATGAGGGGAATGGCAATCTGCTAGATGCACAGGGCCACCTAATTGCTTTCCCATGTCTTGCTTGAATAATGCTGGCAGCCAAAGAGCTACCAGAACCTGAACTAATTTGGTAAACATGGGCCAAAAACAAGGACCGCATTTCTGTTCCCTTTGCTGAGACCCAAATTCCCGACAGAATTCCAAGAATTTTTCTCCCTTGAAAGTGACTGGATCTCCAGCTCTGAATTCCTCTCCCCAGGAGAGCTTGTTCCCTGGTCAAAACAAATAACACATTTCCTGGTTAGTCAGGGTTCGGAACAGTCAGAGGAAGGCTGACTGGGTCCCCAGCCTTCCTGATGGGAGTCGCTCATGGGCTCTGGGCAGCTGGCACTTCTACACTGTGCAGACTCAGCCTTCAGATTGGAAGGTGGTGGTACAGGAGGCCCCACTCCTTCCTGTGTGAGGCCTTCAAGGTTCACAGAGGCTGTCAGGACAGCTCCACCTCAGACACAAGGCTAGGTACCCCTTCTGAACTCAACCACCCTGCCTGGGCTGCCCATGCCGGTCTCCTCCAGGCGAGCGCAGCACACTAGCATGATATGCTGGCTGGGCATGGCAGCTGCAGTACGGACTCCTTGCAGTGGTCAGGCAAGCTGGCCTTTCACTGTCAGAGTTCTAGAAGGGGCCTCCTATGCCTTTGTGTTGAACGCTTTCTCTCTCTCTCTCTCTCTCTCTCTCTCTCTCTCTCTCTCTTATTATTGTTAGATACTGGGAATCGAACTCAGGACCTCATGCTTGCTAGGCAGGCATTGTGCCACTAGCTACATCCCTAGCCCAAAATGTCTTCTGAATGGAGCTTAGTTCTGAGCTTCATTTGGCTTCCATTTCCTCATCTGACAATGGAGCTAATGATGTTGGCTTTTGCTTCTCCCTCCTTCAGGGTAAATTAGATAGAAATTAGATAGCTGGCTTGAGGAACCCTGTCCCAGGAGGGGTAGATCAGCACTGTTCATTCACTAGCACCTAAAGGTACCAGGTACAATGCTGTGTTCTCAATTACTTTCTCATTTGACCCTCACGATAACCTCAGGAAGGAAGCAGTATTATTTATTATGTAACAGATGAGGAGCTGAAAGCTCAGAGAAGTAAAGTGACAAAGCTAGTGACTGGTGACATGGTGACTCACTCCTCATGTGTCTAGAGGCAGACACTAAACCAATGCTAGCTTCTAGAGGGGAGGGAGATCACCTCTAGCTACATTTCT